TATGCAAAAACAGTAGCTGGTTTGCAATGGAGCACCGAATTAAGGCAAAATTGAAAAGCTATAAAGTGAAAGTCTTAAAAAAGTCTCAGCAGAAAAAATAATTTAAGTATATAGATAAGTAATTCAATGAATAGATACAAACATTTTTTTTAAAGCCAGGCTATGACTGGACAGAAATTCCTTTCGAACTACCATATGTGACTTCTCAGAGGGTAAAACAAAGGTCTTTTCAATCTTTCTTTGTGACTCCAAAAGACAGGGAAGTAAAATAAATGAGCAGTTTTGAAAGTTGCATCCATAAATTTGTCTCATTTCTATCTATATGAAACAGAAGAAAAAAGAGTATCTATTTAGACATGTACATATCCCATCAAAACACCATCAGAATGACACCCATATAATGCAAAATCTCTTATGAAAATGCTACTTGCAACTCTATGGGATTATATATTGCTTAATGTCAAACAAGAAATCTATGCAGTCAAAACTAAAAATGTACCACTGCCCTTTTTCAAAGTCTCAACTAGCGTCCCATCTTTCTCAAACTGCAAGAACAAAATTTATTAACATTTTGACGGTGCTCAAAGACAGTCTAGAATTACTGAAATATTTAGGAGGCCACTAACTTATCAGTTCCTTTATATACTACTGGGGACTTTTCACTACAAAACACTGTATGTGTAAGTAATGTTGCAAAGTAAGTGATAGTACAGGCTGCTAAAAAAATAGAAACCATAATTTCAGATTAAATAATAACAAGATTAATGAAGGACCAGAATTAATCTGCTTAGAAGGGGAAAGGCAGTCAAGATAATATTTTTGCTAGCATACTTTTCATTCTTAGTACTTTTCCACAGTCAGTGTTTGGGAAGAGCAAGATGCTTTAAAGGTCTTGCCATCTGTTGCTGATTCCATCTACTCACAAACTTTTCTTTACTCTTCATTTTTCAGTTTACTGTCTACCACTTAACACAGCAACCCGCTGTATGCATTTCCCTCTCGCTGTTGAGATCTGAAAAGCAACATTTACCAGCTTCATAAATTCTGCCAGCTTCTGTCAGACTTTCAAACTGGTCACACATCAGTATATAGGGACCTTGTACGGCAGGACCTCCCATGAAAAAGGGAATCACATCTCTTGTCCTACAACTCTGGGCTTGGGGGTGACATGGTTGGATCACACCAGCCCTGGAGGTCCCCAACGGCCTCTCTACAAGCAGCTGCAGAGACATATGTTTGCTGCATTCATGGGGTACTGAGCTTCCACAATAAAGCCCATCTCTCCAGCCACTGCTTTCCAGCAAGGGATACAGCCTTAGGCACAGCAGTGTATTAACACAGCTATGGAGCCTGTGAGCCAGCAGTAGCTGACTGTGGACCAGAGGGTTTGGCCCAGCTGCTCCCACCTGCAGCACGCACAGACACATCCTGGGGCACAGTGGCATTGTCCTATAGAAGGTAACATTGTTATAGGATTAGATCTGAAACCAGAAGCTGTTTGTTTTTTTGCATCTCTTTCGATCAGATCAATGATGTCAATGTCTTGTGAGGAGGAATTGAAGCAAAAACTTGATTTTGTAGGATTGTAGAGCAAAATTATCACCCTCATCTCAAAAGTAATCCTCAGTTATACTTGGATCCAAATTCAGAATCCAGTCTTGGACATTACTTCTTCAACCGTGCTTTGTTCTTAATACCATTCCTCAATTAGTTTCCATTTTCTTATTCCAATTTACCAGTGAACAGAAAATCTGTTTTTACCTGGCCTGTTTTATCTTTTTTTCGTTCGGTCCCAACTGTAACCACATAAAGTCACAGCAGCAACATGAGAAGTCAGTGAGCACCATGGGAACTCAGTGCAGAAGGACTCGCTTTGGCTCATCATCAAAACTTGTTGGCCCTTCTCCAGTCCAGTATAAGCTAGCAGTAAATCCCAGGCTTTGCAGCCCAAACCAGTGGTTGAAGTTTTAAGCCCTCAGTCACTGCCTTAGGTGCATCCTTCCTCTGGTGTTTATTTCTTAATATGGCAAGCTGGCTTTGTACTCCTCATTTTATGTTTTTTCCTTTGCTTCATCTCTTTCCATTTCCACAGGGAACACCCACAGCCTGATCTTACAGACTTCTCCCTTGTGTTCCAAAGGACTGCAGGATAGCAGCTATGTTTACAGGACGTTTGGCTGTAAATACTCGAACTGCTTAACTGCCTTAATTACTTTAACTTTTAACTGGTTTTATTCTGCACACTCATCCTCAAACAGATTTCTACCTCAGAAGAGCTACTGCAGTTAAGTGTTTAAGCACTTTCTCCTGGCTGGGAACACTACCGCTGAAGAGTTAAGGAGATCATGTAAACAGCTGAGTAATTCTTAACTGGTAATTTTAACAGCATATTTGCAGTTACTTGCTGGGTCATTTTACATATGTTTTGTCGGTATGTGCCTCAGACAAATGTGCTTGAAGACTGTTTAAAAATGTTTTGCCAGAGAAATGTGAAAACCCTTTCCATGTCACATTTTGCCTAAGAAAGGTTATACTCCTACTACAGAACTCTTTCAGTTTGCTAAAAATAGTCTTTTCAAGAGACTGCGTGCTTTAAAGTTTGTTCCAATCTTTCCAAATAATTTTATTTCTGTGCTTTTTTGAAGTAGAGAAATAGTGTCTTTTTCCCTACTTTGATGGTTAATTTTTCACTGTATTTTGTTGTTGAATCCCCTGTACGTAAGAATGATGGTTCAACTGTACTAAAGCACTCGTAAATAAGGGAACCGTGAGGAATAAGACCCAGAAAACCAGATATCTAGCACATACATGAAAATCCAGAGACAATAAAGTACAAATACCACCTGCAGAAGAGCATAAAGGTGAACAAAAATGCGATTATGCAGTCTGGTATCATTCTTTTAACAAGACAGTGCATTTTAATACAGTGATTGAAATGCTGCTTGTCTCATGGTTTTCATTCAGCTGCCCTCACCGTCTCCAATGGATCTTCTACCCCGGCTCAGCTCCTCCACAGGAGGAGCTTTGTTATACATCATCCTGATTTGAGACTCCAAAATATACTTTATGTCAGGAAGAAATTTAGTTTCCACTCTTTTATGACCTATGGGATCTGTCTGGCTTTTAGTAATGTCATTTGCTTCTGCTTTAAACTGGCAGATTGTGGTGTATGTGTGTGTTGTGCACATGTGCACTTTATATCCCTACCAGCAACAGCAAATGCAAAGAGGTCCTTTCGCTATTTCTGTGACAGCCATCAGTGTCTCTATGACAAGCATTTTGGAATGATAACATAACTTCTGTCCCCCCATTTCAGTCAGATGTAACATAGGCATTTCTGACACGGTTAATGTGAGCAGGATCACACATCACCTGATAACATCATGTATACTCGGAACTAAGATTCTCCTGTGTAACCGGCATATACTGGTGCCTTACTCCACTGTATAGAAAGCCTGCTGTTTCCCAATCCTGCAGTCAGTGGTTAAACATAATGCTCACATTTAGCTGGTGCTGCTGGTAATTCTCAAGCAATCAAACAGTATGCCAGGCATATTTTTCTCTCCTAAAATGGGCCAATGGAAATGAATCTCCGTTCAACTAACTGATGTCCTGATCTCTCCTATGAAAACAAATGACTACCTACAAAACAGTTCTTTTTTACGTGTGGTTAATTTTTGCCATTGGGAAAGGCCAGACATATCTTCACTGGCAACACTTCAGAGCTGAAAATCATAAAGGATAAAAGGGACCATTCCCCATGACCTCAGCAGGTGTAAGTCTCAGCTAACTCAGTATCTATGAACTACCACCTCTAATACTCAGCAGTCTAAAGGGGCTGGACATCCTATGGATTTCTCTTTGAGCTTCCCCAAGAAATCTTACTTGCCCTGGGGGCAAAAATACGTCTTTAGAAACCCATGTATTGCTTCTAAATTTCCTCCTAGATCGTTTTTGTCTCACAGTAGTGTGAAAGACTATTCAATAAAAGGGAAATGTCCATCAAAGAAGGTGAAGGTACCCACTCTGATTTTATCTTTTTTATTTTATTATTAGATTCGTGGGTAGTGAGGAAAATGTTTCTCTCATTTTCCTTTCTTACAGTTCTCTGCTATCACTGAGTCTTCCTTTTGTGGAAAACCCTGCAGCTTATTCCTAATATTACCATTTTGAGGTTAAAAACCATCTAAGATAATTATGGAGATGCTGAGGAGATTCAGGTGGCAGGAGTAAGAATATCAAAGTTTAAGATCTGTATGAGATGGTTAAGGTTTATGTTCCTAGAAAAAGGAAAAAAGTGAGGGAATATATAATTTGAAGTTTGATTAAAACTGGATCATTTTTTGCTGTTTGCTGCATTCTCTGGCAAGAGTAGAAGAAATCAGCTTAAGCTGCAGCAAACAAAAAGAAACTTTCTAATTCTTCTAATGGCAAAATGCCTCATAGGCTACTAGGAATAGAAGAATTTTAATTTCAGCTTAGCAACTGACTTTAAGGTCAGTGTAGGTCAGGGGTTGGCAGCCTCTCACATGTGGTATCCCACTTTGTGTTCTCTGTCCTCAACTCAGATATAAAACTAATACCCATGTAAACCAATTCTGTGGTTCTGACGACCCTTTGTGGTAAACTTACCACTGTGGGTTTATCAAGACTATCTGCAAAATTCTTATCTCACTCAACATGACATTTTTTGTGTTCTGTTGATTGTTGATTTTTTTCCCAGCCTGATGCAGCACTATGTTACAGAGGTAGAAACTGATGTCTCCTCTCAAGGCCAACCTCTGTGAGCTACTGGTTACTATGAAGTTATAGATAAGGAAAAGGTTGTATTTCACCCAATGTAAGCATGGGTGTGATTGTGGAGATGAGTGGTTTTGATAAGAAAGTAATGACATAGCAGAAAACGTAGGTAACCGTTCTGGAGCAAACTGATCGAGGAGGAGGGAAAAGCTAAGACCACTGAAGCTGATGAAGCTCTAGAGAATGTAAATCTTATTTACCTGTGCAATCATGTCTGCGGTTTCAGAATAACTGCGGCACTTTTTCACAGCTGAACGAGCTAAAAAATCATCAATCAGCCTTATGCCAATGCCGTATCCCCTAAGGAGAAAACAAAGTTAACATTCAAAATGGGCAACTTCTTTCTACCTACCATCTCCCTAATCTGTCTCTTGCGCTTTCTCAGCAAAACAGCTACATGTTCCTAAACAAATGGCTTTGAGGACAACGGATTTTGCTGGTCTAGATTCTTCTTTCTACCACATATTGCAGCACAGTGGAATTGCTCTTCATGTAGTCATTTAAGGAATCATACCCCTTTAAGCACGATACTCCTGGCAAGGATGATATGAATGTTGTTTATAAACACATTGTCTATACACACAAAGAATTCAAAAGTTGGTAGTTAATATACAGTTTCAGTACACCACCACCTTCATTTTGGATTTAAAATACTACAATTTCAGAGAAATGAGATAAAAAAGGATGGAAGTTAATGGAATTTTTTATAAAACGAATTTAATCCTAGCTCTCGCACATTAACAAAGGTCAGTAACTACATAGTGTGCAAAACAGCTATGCCTCCAAGCATTTTTCGAAAAAGG